GGTTTTCCTTAGATAGAAAACTTTGAATCAATCTGACTGGATGATCTGGTGAACTGGAAAGTGACCTGAGATGACGTGTTTTTGGCGCTAAGAAATAAACTCAATCGAATTTAATTAAATATAGCCGTTTCTAGCTGGAAGAAAAAGACTTGCTGAGACCATTCCTAGTCTCTGCTACAGTCTTTCAATATTGCAGTGTTGGTAAAGGGTTAACTGAGGAAAAATAGGTCAGCATTGATATATTCTGAGTAAACAATCACCTTAAAATAATTTTATAATTGATTAATCATCATCAAAATAAGCATAATTCATCCTAAAGGTATAAAAGAACTGATTCTGCTTTCTGACCTGGGAGTCCGTGGTCCCTTCCCCTCTGCAGGTTCAGTGAAGCCAGATCCATGTGCTGTGGGGAATCCAGGACCAGCAGCGTCTCCGTTACCTCCTCCACTAACAGGGAGTCTGGACTAGCAGCTGGTGCCGCTGATCCAATCATACCCCTTAATGTTGGTTCGATACCACCTGCACACAGGAAAATAAAAATAAACTCTGCAGCTTCATGACAAAATAAATTATAATTAATAATTATATAATTATATAATTAATTTGAATGGATACATAAGTGATTTGCCAATGAAAATAGTATTTTATTCTTAAGATAAGATAATTCGATAAGATGCACTTGAACAAAGACAATGCAATTGTTTTTTTTTTTACTTAAAATGTAAATTGTCTTGTTCCATTGGAAGTGTTTCACTTACCTCGTCAAATTAGGAAAAAATGCATTTATTTTAAAGGAACTATATGCAGAATTTAAACTTCTGAAAGTACTTTGAATATGAAATTATTACACAGCTTTGACTTAACTAGATGACTGCCAGAGAGCAACCCAAAGAAACTTATCGGACTGATCCAATCAGCTCTCTGATCAACCAGTCGCCTGGAACGCTGGTTGAACAGAGCATCGCTTTGGACAGATAATCTGCACAGGTTTCACCAGCAACCTCCCCCCCACACCCCGCGCTCTCTTGCTGTCTGAGCAATCGCAGTAGTTCTAATCTGCACATGATGCATTAATTATTATACTGCCTGCCCCCCTCTCACTTGCATTAAAAAAACTCCACCTCGTATAGTCTAAAATCCTGGATAATTTATCCGACTTGCAGGCATACGCGAACAACTATCCATATCAGGGAGAATCCCGGAACTGCCGGGAGACTTGGGGAAAAAAGCAACGAGTAAAAATAAGATAAAGACAAACCACTGGATTTTGTTTCCAAGTTTGAAGACATTTCTCTTCCCATCCAGGAAGCTTTTTCAATTCAAAATGTCAGAAATAGCGTTGAGTTCCAGGTTTTATACAGAAGCCCAACAAAGCCTTGTTTTTGTTTAGAAAACATGCAAATTGAAACAGACTAACGGGTCTACCCCTTTGGATTGGGGGTCGTTTGGCTCCTTTTGTTAGCCTGCAATGCTCCATACCTGTCTATGTCTCTGAAAGGGGGGTCTTTAAAGGGAATTGTTGGCCTGGCTGAATAGGTGAGGTCTTCTGTTACCCTGTAAAGAGGTTGGGGCTGCGATGATAGTGGGAAGAAATCAACTCAATTGCTGCATTGTAGGTTTTTGAAAGCTAAAATCTGAGTTCCCCCCCCCCCTCAGTTTAAGGTTGGTTCTTCTTTCTTAACATAGATACTAAGACTGACAGCAGGTGGATGAGATGAGTGACAATTTGAAGCTGGACAGAGTTAAGCAAGGCATGAATAATTAAGGTGAGCCATCAGGGCAGATCATGACATATCTGTTTTCCAAACTATTTTGGGTTGTTTAATTTTCAGTGTTCTGCTCAGTCAGATAACAGTTTTTGTTTATGTTTTTTTTGCTTTCTGTATTTCTTGTATTCTGTGATTCTAAGAAAGGTTCCATTCCTCTTCCTTAATAAGTTCGGTTACTTTGGATCGTGTCGGGTCCCCTACCAAGCTTTAAGATGTTGCAGGAGTTAATCTCAACTATTCCTGAAACTCCAGCTGACCTAAATACATCTACTTTCTCTTTCTTTCTGTGTTTTCAGGGTGTGCTTTGATTAGAGCACACTGACCTTCTTTAACGATCCTCCAAGGACTGAAGAAAGACGCGTGAAGTCTCAGGTGGGGAAAGTGCTGGTGTTCCTGGAAGCTCTCGTTCAGCCTGCTGAGGAGAGGCGGGATGGTGCCGTGACCAAACCTGAACGCTGCAGTAGCAAACACGTTGGAGGCCGAGGCGTCCACAGATGGATCGTATCCCCGGTAGGGTCCCACGTAACGTTCAAACAACTGCACACCAATTATTTTTGGGACATAATCCCTCATTGTTATTATCTGAAAAGCCCAAAATGAAAAAAAATAAGGCGTAAGAAAAACAGAACCTAATTTATCAGTTTCCTGATTTCAAATTGTATTTGTTTTGAGACAATTTGAACACATTTCACCAATAAATTACTAAACAATAAGCAGCTTTATATAGATAGATAGATAGATAGATAGATAGATAGATAGATAGATAGATAGATAGATAGATAGATAGATAGATAGATAGATAGATAGATA